TCTGAGATACTTCTCTTATTTCTCTCCTAAAAAAGTTTCAACTCATCACTATCATGATCACTAGCAAAAAGGTTCATTTTCACCCTTCTCTTCCTCACTTGATTCACCATCAGTTACTACATTTATCGTCACAGGACAGTAATTATTGTATTTACTGTAATAGGGAGAGATTCATTCAGTTGGCGATGTCACCATAACCATCAATTACTGTATCTACTATGATAGGGAAAGGTTCATTACGTTGACTAACGTCAAGGGCTGGAACAATATATTCACCCTCCTAAACAACAAACAATTGAAGTTGAATCATACTTGAGTAGACAATGCAACCTGCAGTGTTCTAATTCTTGAATCACCCTCTACTTTATAATACTTATTAGAAGGCCCCAAAGCATAGCAACTGTTTCACCTGACTAAAACACAATTGTTCGGTGTATTCTAAACAAAGGTCCATATATGATAGCAAATCTGGATCATACTCTTCTCATATATGAGTCCATTTTTTAATGTAATCAACTAGAGGAGTAAGGACCCACTTGTGCCCATAGTTAAAGACCGCATCAACCTTTCAACCATTCTTTCAAGAAAGTCACACGACAGATATTGAAAAAAAAAGAAAGTGACTTATCAAAAAACAACTATCAAGGAATCTACCAATATTTTATGTGAAGATAATGATAAAGGGTAAAGGGATAGGGACCACATGTTATGCCTATCAGATTACATTGAGAATGCAACACTATAAATAAATAAATGCATTTAAGTATGACATACCAAACATACAAGAAATCATGGAAAACAAAGAAAATACACAAAATGTATGTTAGAAAAGATTGAAGTTTCAGCTTGAGACAACATCGTCAAAAAAACATAAATCGAGATACTAACGTAAACATAAAACACATGTTCTTCTAAAAACAACTACAAAAAGCATATAACACATCTAACAACATAAAAAAATGTACACATACATCAAATTACAACATTAGACAAATTCGAAACTTAACTAAAAATACTAAAAATAGAAAAAATTCTTCTCGAGTGGGTGAGGATATTAATTTGCAGTTGCACAAAGCGTAGAAACTTCAAGCAGTTGGCAAGGAAGTTTGAGTTCTAGTGAGCTTCGATTGAGGAAAAAGAGAGGAGATTTGAAGATGATGAGCGCAAGTATGTTTTAGGTTAAAAGGTTTGAGGATGACTATTGGGTTAAAAGATCTGGGTTTACGGGTGGGGCTTTTGGGTGCATTTGCTTTTTTAATCAGTTTAATTAGTTATTTTGGTAACCAATAGGATAGCGACACATCATAAATCAATTTGCTAATTGAGATTATTATTTAGGTTGTTAAAGAATAGACCAAAAGATTGACGTCAAGGACATTTTAGGCTCAAAAGGTAGAAGAAGGGTAATTTTGTACCAATTCGCATAATTGAGGGGTATTTTAGACCCTTTTCCATAAGTTAAATGTGTAAAAATTCACTGCATGTCTACTTTCATTGAACACAAGTGGGAGAATATTGTCAAACCCATAGAATATTAAGTAGGATGTACATATTCCATATATTATCATGTTTAAAATACCGTTATAAAATTCCTATATAAGGAGTTCCTTTAGATGTAGTTAACCAATCCACTAGTATCACATATATCAAAGTCTCCGCTATCCAGGTATGCAAATAAGTAGTGGTTTAAGGCTGCCTGTGTTCCCAAAGTTTTTTTTTAAGTCTCTTTTTCTTTTCAATGATGTTCCTAGCCGTACCATCTTTCTACTCTCCTTTGTAAAGCTCCTGATGTCATCAGCCCGAATAAGCTAGCCTGTTAAGTCAGCAATTCATAATTGTCGAGAGTTACTGGTCCAAGTAAACGAACTTGTCAAGTAATCACTCTACACCTAACTAGTCAATTAGCAATCCATTTCAATTGATCTATTAAGTCAACAACCCACAGCTGTCCAGTCAACATCTAGTCAACTGCAACGACAACATCAACAATCATGTCATTATCCTGTCAGCTGCATATCCCTTTCATGTCACCGTGCATTGCCAGTGATCACTAGCCAAGCTGATAGTATCTTATTCTAGTAATATAATCAAATTGGCAGCACATCTACCTTAGGTGCTGCTGCGACTAGGGGTCATTGATAAGCAAGACCCATAACGATAGGAGTTAAAAGTGAGAGCCACTAACATGTACGAGTGACCTACAGAAATATCTATGCCGAAGGTGTTTGGTGAATATACTTTCAACTAAGATACCAACCTCATCAGCCAACTGAATGCCTTACTATCATTCAGGTAACACCTGAGTTTTTTGACTTGTGTGATGAACTTTATTTTTTATAACGGTGGTATTCGAGCCAGCTTATGTGCATATTGACTATTCCATTGTGAATCTGCAACCTCCCCCTTAACTCTAGTACCGGGTATCTCTGTCCAACAAGGCTTAGGCATATGAGAAAAAAGTGCATACCATTTTGTCTCTTGCCTCTGCTGGAATTTGAACCTTGGTTTCCAAAATTTTCACACACTTCATTGACCGCTAGATCACCCCTTTGGGTACTTGACACTATGAGTATTGAACACCAGTACTTATAATTAGGAGAGGTGATTAAACATGACATGACACACTTGCAAGGGGTGAGGGCATGACTCTAGATAGGAAGATATGGAGGTTGATAATTAGGATAGAAGGTTTGTAGGTAGTCAACCGTTGTCTAATCTCCCTTACCAGTATTGTTATTATTACTCACATTCTATTTTATTGTTACATGTTGTTTTCTTTGCGTCAGTTATCATATTATGTTGTTGTTGATGTTCTCTTTTCCATTATGTGCAACATCACTGCTTCGCTACTGTATTTTCCTTTCCATGATTAATTTTATTATGTTTTACTTGAGCCGAGGGTCTATCGAAAACAACATTTCTGCCTTCAGAAGGTAGGGCCTTCCCCAGACCCCGCTTTTAGGATGACATTAAATATGTTGTTGTAGTTGTTAGTCCTTTCTCCAACTCATACAATCCTTGGATGGAAGAACCATCACAACCTTACATGGAGATGATTAGATTGTGATAATACCTATGAATGGATTCCAACCTCAGTCTCACCCTGGCGCAGCCTACTCAAAACCAGATGTCTTTGGAGGGTGTAATAGAAAGAATATCTGCATATATTAGCTTGTAGCAGCTGGAATAATTCTATTTATATTGACACTACTAATTAAGAGCCTTATCCTACATTATTGAAATTGTGGAAGATATGGTATTACTGAATATAATCAGGTAGCATCAGTAAGTGTTGAGGAATTAACACAACACATCCTTTCTAGTTCCAGTTATAAGACTTGGGATGACTTATGGTCTTTTGGGGAATAAAAGTTGCTTAGTCCCCCAGCTGGAACGTGTCCATCAGAAAAAGGGAAAGTACTCTCAATATCTTCGCCAAAAGTGGCATGGTAAACTGTTCATTGATCCTAGTCAGAAACTTTATGTGAAGATTAGGAAAAATACTCAGCTTATCAGGTGTACTGATGCAAAATGAGTTGAAACTCTATCTGACAGGTGATTCAGATCCGGTATCATGAACTGATTGATGGAAAATTGCTCTCTTGAAACAAAAAGAAGCGAAGGTAGTTGCCGCCAAGATCAAGCACAGAAGTCGAGCATAGAGCTATGATATTGGTAGTGAACTTATGTAGTTGAAACAATTATCTGAGAAGTCAAAAGTTTGAAAGGTATAGTAAATGAAATTGATTTGTGACAATGAAGTTATAATGGATATTGTGTATAGTCCAGTATTACATGAGTGGACTCAAGACATTGAGTTTGATTGTCACTTTATGAGTTTATCTGATAGTAAGTACAACTTGAACTTCTTCTCCTATAATTCTGTTTGGCTAATACATTCAGCAAAGCACTCTAAGGACCTAGGATAATATATATGTGAGGCAAGGTTGGAGCCTATGATCTACTCCATCTTGAGACAGAAAATTACAGTATGACCAGATTCATTGCATTACTATAGGAAAAAGAATATTCCAACCTTCCCTATGATATCGTTCGCAGCCTTAGACCTTTATATCAGATGCCGCTTTTGTGCATAGTGGCAGCGGTAAATCCAGGATTTAAACTTGGTGGATTCGACCTTTATTAGCACGAAACTCATTATATTTTTGAAATTATGGGTTCAGATTTAAAATTTGTCGAAACTTTAGTGGGTTTTGACATATATTCTACGCTCCAAATGGTTATGGATAAGCCGTTTGCCACGGAGCTACATCCACCACTGCATAGTGTCTCATTAACCAATATTAAGTTCTCTATTTTTCTTCTTGTTTCACATCTCATATTTAGCAAAAATCGATAAACCTACTAACCTTGATTCATTAACTACACTTTAGTGTCCTAAAAGAAACAACCCTCCCCCGTTACCTTCCATTTCTGGGCAAGCATCTTGAGAAAACTATAATACTTCCTCGAATCATTTAGGCACAGGTCCCTACCGTTCCAATTCAAAACTTTTAGCTTCATTGTGTTCCCTCCCACAACCGCTATGGGATTTCAACACATTTGAGTATAGTCAACATCTTCCTACAATTTCCCTCTCCAAAATTATCCTCTTAACTGAATAGAAACTCCAATTGCTTCAATCTTAAGCTGCAAGGACTCATTAGAGTAGAATTTTATTAGGTCTCCACACAGCTGCTCTCGAATAAAGCTTGAACTACCTCTTTGGAACTTCTTTTTTATGCATACCCTCAATTGCTTGCTTAGTTTTTGGAACACTCATTTGACCATTTTAACACTTCTGTTAACAATAGTCCATACGTTATGTCCTTGCATGTTGATGGAGGTAAGTGATTAATACTGAGGGTGTAAGAATTGGGGCGTTTTTCAGTTTTTTTCTTCTTTCAGTTGGGAGACTAACTAAATGACATTCAAATATAAAGGATTTGAGAATCGAACAACTAAGCAAGAGAATAAACTAAAATATGAGTGGCGCTAACCTTAAGAGCTAAGAGGCATTGATTCTGGCGGAGAAGTTCACGGAGAACAGCTATCATATCATTCTTAATCAAACGCCTGACCTTGCTATTAAACACCTGTTCCACCGCGGAGTCATCGTTTTTGTTGGCAACCCGCTTCAGTGCCTGAACAGTCTGAATGGCTTCAATACTTAGGTTTCTCCCTTTCTGCAAGGGTTTTCGATTTTTGCTCCTGTCTCGCATACTAATTCTCAGATTTCCACCACATTTAGACCAAATCCCGGACGCTACTGAACTGAATACGATTTCCGGTATATGTCGCCCGCCGTGAATCCCTGTGTCAAGTGGATACGCCGAAAATCGTGCACATTGGCACCAGCTATTCATAATGATACGAGAGAGAAATGAGAAACCTCTCTGTTCGTGGCTTAAATGCTCTGTTTTGAAGTAGTAGGTATTATATAAGAGGAAATTTAGCGTGGTGTCCTAAAAGACTTATTAGTGTTTTTTTTTTAGGATGTCGCATATGATTATTTATTCTAAATTCTAAATGAGGATAATTGAATATTAAGTTGTTTGTACTTTTTAAAAATATTATGGTATTTGTATTGAATTTTTTAAAAATAGATTTGACATGAATTATTGATATTTTTAAAGAGTTCAAGCAATATAAGTTGAATAAATTTGATATCTTGAAATATGGAATTAGAATGTATTAAGACATTCTGGTTCATATTTGGTGCAAGCGCTAAAGCACTGAAAGGATCTTTCAATAGTAGGAGAGCATTGAGTATGACACATCTCTAGTGTATTGATTATTGTGTCAACGATAAACGTTGGATAGTCAAATGCGGAGCAAATAACTGTTGAAAGCATTTAGATAGTAAGTTCACTCTAACATGAGTGTTCATCTATTATGACTTTTCCAGAGTTTTTGATAGCACAACCAAAATAATACACTAATAATTATAAGAAAACAATTTTTTTAAATGACTTTAATTTGATCTGGTTTATAGATTTAAATAAACCTAGATAATTAATTTAGTTACTTCATTAGTGAAAAATCAAACCAAACTTACTTATGTACGTCCCTAGACAACATACCTAAATTCTAAGTCTTGCCTAGCACAACTTCTAGTCAATTGAACATTTTTGTTGACTCGAAACATTTTGAACATTTACCTTATGGATAAAAGTTAAAATTTATGCATAAGTTCTAACTTTTGCATATAAAATAAATGTTCTGGTTAATTAACCAAGTTTAGTTTTTTATATATTCTAAACGTCTGTCTTGTAGATAAAAGTTTTCTGAAATAAAAATTATTTTCAAAATATATATATATGATTTTAAGCGGGATTAAAAAAAAATGAAGACCACCCTTATGGCTAACATTTTTGTTAAACTTTACTTATGGGGACAAAATATCAAAGACCAGACCATGTTAAGATCATTTTTGAACTTGACCCATTTTATAAAGACGAAGCCCTTGAGGCACGATCCAAATGGCAGCAAATTAAACCAAGAAATCCCACATTTCAAAAAAATAAATCTTTTTTTAAAATGCTTTGATTTAATATTTAAATAGCTAATTATAAATAAATCTAAAAAAAAGTTAGATTAAAATCTGAGTTTTTGACCTCATATAAATTCAATGAAGTTGTATTAAAAAGAGTACTCTTAACCTCATATAAATTTTACTATACCATTTTAGGGTAAACATAATGATATTTGGTGTTTAAAAGGATATTCTAGTAATCAAACACAAAAAAAAATAACTTTTTTCATTAAAAAAGAAAAAAATGACATTAGTTCTACACTTATGTTTTTTTATTCTACATTTGGAATAACATAAGTACTGAAACTTTAGAAAATGTGGGATAATGAGACAATTTCTTATTTAACAATAATTTTTTTATAAAAATATTATCCTTTATATCAAACACATAAAAGTTAAAAAGAACCCCAAAATACAAACACATAAAGTAAAATTTTAGTAAGTATTTCATTTCCCTTTTCTCTAAAATTCAGAAATTCATTAAAATCTCAAATTTTAAAAGATAAATAGATGTGAAACATATTAAGATTAGCTTGAGGAATGTATCATGCAGTATCTTTTTTTCTTCTTTAATTTTATATTTTTACTTTCCATAAAAATAATGGTTTTACTATAAAAAAAATAAAGTGAGTTAAATCAGTGAATTTTTATGTACGTGTCCTTTTGACTAAAAGATCTATTCTTGTTTTTTTATCTTCATTCTAGCTTGAAAATGAATGTCTCTTGTATTTATACTCTCTTATTTCGATCTAGTACAACTTTCCTACTTAATTGCCCAATTTTCTACGTCTTTTCTCTTCCGCGCGTAACTCTCTCCCACCCAACCAAACACCCTCACATCCTCCCCCATAAATTATTCCTCACAAGTTTCTCTTTGCTTGTTGTGTCTCTCATTGGTTCTCCGTAGTAATCGGAGAACTAGTAAAAAATAAAAAAAAATCATTGTACTTTAGTTAAGTGAATTGAATTAATTCAATGTCAACTTTTCTTTTCTTTCATTTTTAACTCTAAATTAAAAAAAAAAAATTCAGGGTGGTCATCTACTACAACATCGATCAAGATCAATAGTGATTCCAAAAAAAAAATTATGATGAAGAAAGGAAACATTTGTTGGCATGATTGAGAAGAAGACCACCCAATTTCATTGTCACGTACATACTTACATTTATCACGAAAATAAATTAGCTAGTTTTTACGTAGTTTATAAGCTTATGTTTTGACTCTAAAAAAAAAAATATATAAAAATGGCAAGCTTGACGAGTGCACCATCAAAGAAGACAACGCGTACTCCTGGAGGAACAAATCCAGGAGGCTCTCAGGGTGCTGCTGGTAAAACAGGAAGTTCTAGTGGACAAACAGTGAAATTTGCTCGAAGAACGTCTAGTGGACGATATGTTAGTCTGTCTAGAGAAGATCTTGATATGTCTGGAGAGTTATCAGGCGATTACATGAATTATACTGTTCAAATTCCGCCTACGCCTGATAATCAGCCTATGGATACGTCTGTTGCTGCCAAAGCAGAGGAGCAATATGTATCGAATTCGTTGTTTACAGGGGGATTCAACAGTGTTACTCGTGCTCATCTGATGGATAAGGTGATTGAATCCGAAGTTAATCATCCTCAAATGGCTGGATCAAAAGGATCATCATGTTCCATGCCTGCTTGTGATGGAAAGATCATGAAAGATGAAAGGGGAAATGATGTTATCCCTTGTGAATGCAGGTAATTTATTTTTGTTTACTAGTCTTGGGGACGTGCGTTCATCACAGTGGCGTAGCCACATACCATCAAGGGGTCCAATTGGCTGGAAAAAAATTAGCATATATACAGATAAAATGATATACGAAATGATCAAATAACCTAACACACTTAACATAATAAGTTGCTAATTCTGGACAAATTTCTGGCTCCGCCACTGGTTCATCACATCTTTCAGACAATCATAATATTGTGCAACATGAAAAATTTGTTGTTAAGAATAACATTCTTACCAAAAAATTATAATGAATCAATCGAACTTAATTATCACATATAATTATAGATTATATCTCGTCCTGCAATTATGAATGCCATCAAATTTGAGGTTGTGGTAATGCATAGATGAAGAAGGAATCAAATAAAAAATAAGAAACTTTGAAAACCAACAATTGAACACTATTGTTTCTTATGATTTATCTGATATTGTCCATTGTCTTAATTTATAGTTTGCAAGAACAACTTTTTCCTTTCATCCACCCAACTTTACACTTAAGAGCTTCCGACTTTTCATAATTGGAAAAAGGACAAATATACCCTCGAACTATCACAAATGGTATATAGATACCCTTCGTCATACTTTAGAGACATTGTTGAATCTGC